CTTTGCCAACTGAGACCATGCAGTCAGCAGGGAAAACCCCATATGTACTGCCATTTAAAACATAAAGTTGCTATGTTCCATAGAATCATGAAATCATAGGGTTAGAAAAGACCTTAGGAGTCATCTGGTCCAACTCCCTGCCTGAAAAAAAGGAATGCTATGCATAAATTATCCCTATACAATGCTTATCCAATTAATTGAAAGAGATTTCACAAGTTTCCTCCAATGAAAGAGATTCCACAAGTTCTCTGGGCAGTCTGTTTCACTGCCTCGCTGTTCTAACAGTAAAAGAATTCTTCTTGGTATCTAATCTAAATCTGCTTCGCTGCAGTCTGAAGCCATTGTTTCATATCCTGCCCTATGCAGCAGGGAAGAACAGTTGTCCTCCCCCGTTTTTATAGCAGCCATTTAGATATTTGAAAACTGTTATCATGTCACCTTGTCTCCATGCTAAACACACCTAGTTCTTTGCCTTCCAATCTTTTTATCCATATCCTTTTATCCTTCTCATCCATATTAGATTCCATGTCAGTGAGAGCTCATCTTCCATGAAAAAAATTGTAAAACATAGTGAACCTCATCAACCAACTTCAGGTTTACCCAAAGACACTGGTAAAAGCACGCCTCAGAAGTCTGAGACCTATGGTTTCATGCACCTACATGATAGTTTGCCAGACTTCACCTATAGTACATGAAGGCTGATTGAAATCTGCCTAACAGGCACCAAATAGTCAGAGTTGGTCATGCTGCCCTTGTTAAATTGATAGAAAAAAAACCCTCTTCAGGTGCACAACAGAATACCTTTCTGTACACCTGTACCTATCAGGGCTCTGATAATAGATGCCTCCAGACCATTGGAGAGACCATTTAAATCCCCTTCAGACTTTCATGAAGGTCATCTTCATAAATGTCTTGGAGGGGGTGCAGGGAGAGCTGTGGGGAACTTGTATGTGTGTGTCACTGCATATATGTCTGTGCATGTGTGTTGCCCTTTACAGCTCAACAAAACTCATTAAGTGACCCTCCAGCCCAAATAATTGCCCACCCCAGGCTACATTCTTTGACGAATTTCTGCATACCTTTGTCCTACTTTTAGAGTCTCTGCCCTCTTAGGACCTCATCCTAGTATTAACAGGATCTCTCACTTCCTTCCCATCCCACCCTGAACCTTCTAGTATAGGGATTCTCAACCAGGGTGATGCAGCACCCTAGGGTGCAGCAAGATCCCATTAAGGGTACCACACCACCCATCCCCTGTGTAAGGGGGTAAATGCTCTCCTTCCCCATCCAGCACCCTCTACCTGCCCCAGATACTCCAACAGCGCCTGCAGCTCTCTAGAGACTGCCACTGCTGTTGTCTTCTCCCAGCCTTTCCAGCCCCCAAGCAGCCCCTGTGCTGGCCCCTCTGCACTGCTAACAGCACTCTGCTGGCAAACGTCCCTTTACATCTTCATGTTTTGCACCTTGGCTTGTCCCCTCCACACCTTCCACATTTCTGAGGCTGGCAGCCATGCCCCAGTCACTAGCATGTGAGAGCCTGCAGGAGCAGCCTCAGTGGCAGGGGCTGCCCTTGCCTCCTGATATACAGACTAGGGCTGGTGAGGGGGAAAACAGTGGAAAGAGCAGGGCAGTGCAGGATGAGGTCCTGCACCACCACCGTAAAGTGGCATCAGCTATATCAGTAATTCTCCACTTTTTTGGCCTCAAGGTCCCTTTCCATATCTTTTCTGAGTTTAGACCTAGCTCAATGATTTTCAACTGTGGTACCACAAAATTCACAAAAGTTTTGGAAGGGTTCCTTGAGGCTAAAAAGGTTGAGAATGACTGATTTAGACAGTGCAATAGATTACTATCAATGAAAATTCTTTTTTAGTTGGTATTTGCAATGCTTTGGGGAACCTGTATAGCTTGTGAACTGCTTTTCCACAACAGTGTGTAGCTGTATCACTCTGCCGTCACCGTATTGAATGTGGGACTTGGTTGCTTTCTCAAATACCTTTTTCCCTCATAGTATAATGAAATATACCAGAAAAGACAGGAAAAATTTAATTTTAAACACATTTGAATAGAACACCCAAACAAAGACAGGACAACCACCCATAGCAAACCAGTTTTTCAACTTGGAGCAGCGGATGTGACTGATCACATGAATAGTGGGACATGGTGCTGCCAGTATGTATGAGTCTGCTGATACCAGAGCTAAGTACAAACAAAAAGCCCAAGGCTGAATTGATTCAATCTTTGCAAGTT